GGGGGGCAGGCGTGTAGCAGAGCAGGGGGGCAGGCGTGTGACAGAGTGGGGGTAGGTGTGTGACATCAGGGCGGCAGGCGTGTGACAGAGCGAGGGGCAGGCGTGTAGTAATGCCTCCTGGGACCGGACTCTCCAATAATGACAGGTGTGTCCATGTGGGACCCCGTGGCCTCATGCAGTTCACCCTCCCCACCAGCAGAGGGCTGACCTCAGCCCCAGGCCCGGCCCCGTCCTCACTGCAGAGTCCCCTCTCCCAGCACAGGCTTGGGCTTTCAGAGACACAGCAGAAAGGACGCAGGTGGGGCTGGTCGTGGTTGTGCGCATCCCTGAGCGAACCTGGCACGGCCAGAACACAACTCTGGCCAAAGCAGGGCCGCACATGGCACACTCAGCACGGCTTTCCGAGGGACTGGTTTAAAGGGGTATTTCTCAGCAGTTTTGGAATTTTGCTAAATAATTGCTTACGACCTAAGAATCAGCAGGAGCCCGGGCAACCTCCAACGAAGTCAAGGCACTGCAAGGTGTCTGGCTGTGACGGCCACTCAGGTAGGAGAAGCTGCCGGAGGATGCTGCCTGGCAGCACTAACCCAGGGACACATGGCACCAGGAACTGGCAGAGGACGGCCCTCTCACCATGCGGCTGCCACTGTCAACACCCAGTCAGCCAAAGTCAGCCCACCTTGTTTCCAACTATACAAGTCTTGGGAAGGAAAGACTGTCACACAGCAGGTTTTACAAAGCCGCATGACACTTGGACATGGAAATGCTTCAAGAGAGGCCACATCTCATTACTGACAGTCATCAGACAAAATACCCGGCTTGTCCCCGCACCAGAAAGGGAGGCCCAGGCAGGCTTACTTGGGGGTCTGTTGCACCTCGGCCCACCAGTGGTAGTCGGTGTAGTTGACCAAGAGCAGGATCTGGCACCAGAGCAGTACGAGGGACGGGTGGGTGGGGATCATGGCGCGGACCCACGTGTTCAGGCCCTCGAGGGTGTAGAAGCTGCCAGCAGAGTCATCACTGGTGAGCAGTCTCGTGGCGGCTGCTGTGATCCTCCGGAACATTCCTGGGGACAAACCAGAGGGGTGGCCTCGAAGAGCCCCCAACAAAGGAGGCCCCCCAGGAGTAGAGCTGACGCACGACCACACTCCACGTGGACAGCAGCCACAAGCCAGCAGGCCCAGCCGCCCGACAAGAGCAGGTGGACCGGCCCTACCCAGGAGCCAGAGCCACACACGCCTCGTCCTGCTCTAGTTCAGGCTGGGCTCCGTGACTGCGGCTGAGAGGCCACTGCTGAAAACCCATCTCGCGATTTACAGACCGGGCACAGCGTGAGACACGATTCTACCCTTTCGAGATGGCACTCGGTTCACTCACACGACATCCTACCTATCTGAATGAGACTTTTTCCTCTATTTGGTTACATTTATAGCCTCCATTTTTGTTCCGTCAACTCTCATCTAACTCCATTAACACAGGAGAAGACTAACACCTGCTCCTTACACCTTTCCAACCTCTTCTGCCACCATCCACTTCTCAAAAAGTCAGTTACCCTTTTCTATCCAGCAGAATGGAAAACATTTTTATTCTCTTCTATAATCGGAATTCAGTAATTACGCTTTACTGCTTTATTCATACACTGATTCCAAAAGTGAGAAATCAAATAGCATTTATGTTATGAATGTTACAGTAATATTCCCCACTCATCTGTCAGTGTGTTGTACTGTTGGTGGCTCACATGCTGCTGTGAGGCTGGAAACCGTGCCACCGGTATTTCAAATACGAGCAGGGTCACCCCTGGTGGACAGGGAGCGAACTTCCAGACTGAGAGAGACTGCGAAGAAGGACGGAACGGCCCACTGTGGAATCACTTCACCACTGAAAACCTGATCAACAGCAGCGAAGCACTGTCTGATACGGTGTTCAGAAGAGGAGCCCCTCAGGCTGGAAGGCTCAAAATATGACTGGGAAAGAGCTGCCTCCTCAAAGCACAGTTGACCTTAATGACGTGGATGGAATAAAACTCTCAGGACCTCCATTTAGTAATGGGGCACAACTCATAATGGGAAGAAACAGCTGCAAACATCCATTAAAAATCAGAATGTGGAATGTACAAAATATGAATCTAGGAAATTTGTAAATTGTCAAACGGAATGCATAAAGATTCATATCTTACATGTTAATGAGCTGAGATAGACTGGTATTGGTCATTCTGAATGAGATAATCATAATGGTCTACTATATTGGGAATGACAAACTGAGGAGGAAAGGCAAAAAGAACATTTCAAAGATGTATCCTGAAGTATAATGCTGTCAGTGATAGGATAATACCCATATGCCTACAAGGAACACCAGTAAATACTGTTGTTGTTGTTATGTGCCGTCGAGTCAGACCCGACTCATAGCAACCCCTCCTTGGGTTTCTGAGGCAGTATCACTACGGAAGTAGATTGCCCCATCTTCCTTCCGAGGAGTGGCTGGTGGGTTTGAACCACCAGCCTTCTGGTTAGCAGTCAAGTGCCTTAGCCACTATGCTACCCCCCAGTAAATACTACTAGTGTTCAAATTTACACACCAACTACTAAAGCCAAAGATGAATAAATCGAAGAGTTTTATCAGTCTGAAACTGCAGTGGGAAACCGATCAGACGTGCCATCAAGATGCACTGGTCATTACTGGAGATTTGCTGGAAACAAAGCAGCCGCACTGGTAGTTGAAAAACATGGCCCTGGAGACAGAAATGACACTGGAGATTGCATGACAGAATTCTGCAAGACCCTCTGGTGGTGCAGTGCCTAAGGCATTTGACTGCCAACCAGAAGGCTGGCAGTTCAAACCTACCAGCCACTCTTTGGAAGGAAGACTGGGCAATCTACTTCTGTAGTGATACTACTTCAGAAACCCAAGGAGGGGTCACTATGAGTCAGATCCAAATCGATGGCAATGAGTTTGGTCTGGCTTTTTGGGATGATAGATACATTGCAGATACCTTTTTTCAACAACATCAATGGCAGCTATACACGCGGACCTCACCAGATGGAATACACAGGAGTCAGATCAACTACACCTGTGGAAAGAGGTGATGGATGAGCTCAATATCACCAGTCAGAACAAGGCCCGGGGCCAACTGTGGAACAGACCATCAATTGCTCACATGCAAGTTCAAGTTGAAGCTGAAGAAAATTAAAACAAGTCCATGAGAACCAAAACACAACCGTGAGTACACTCCACCTGAATTTAGAGATCATGTTAAAAAGATTTGATGCAATGAACATCAACGATCCAAGAGCAGACAAGTTGTGGGATGACATTAATATCACCCATGAAGAAAGCAAAAGGTCATCAAAAAGACATGAAAGGAAGAAAGGACACAAATGGATGTCAGAAGAGACTGAAACTTGCTCTTGCACAGAGCAGCAGCTAAAGCAAATGGAAGAAATGATGAAGTAAAAGAGCTGAACAGAAGGTTTCAAAGGGTGGCTCGAGAAGACAAAATGAAGTAGTATAATGAAATGCATGAAGACTGGAGTTAGAAAACCAAAAGGGAAGAACACGTTCGACATTTCTTAAGCTGAAAGAACTGAAGAAAACTTTCAAGCCTCCAACTGCAGCACTGAAGGGTTCCATGGGCAAAATAGTGAATGATGAAGGAAGCATCAAAAGAAGATGGAAAGAATACACAGTCACCAAAGAGAACTGGTTGACTTCCAACTATTTCAGAAAGTGACATACGATCAATAACTGATGGCATTAAAAAAGATGTCCAAGCTGCACTGAAGGAACTGGTGAAAAACAAGGTTCCAGGAATTGACGGACTACCCACTGAGATGTTTCAACAAACTGGTGCAGTGCCAGAGGTGCTCACTCATTTATGCCAAGAAATTTGGAAGACAGTTGCCCAACCAACATATTGGAAGAGATCAATGTTTGTGGTCATTCCAAAGAAAGGTGATTCAACAGAATGTGGAAACTACTGAATAGAATATTAATATACACACAAATAAAATTTCGCGGAAGATGAGTCAAAAATGGTTGCAGCAATACACTGACAGGGAACTTCCAGAAACACAAGCTGGATTCAGAAGAGGACGTGGAACAAGGGAGATCATTGATGATGTCAGGTGGATCTTGGCTGTAAGCAAAGAATACCTGAAAGATGTCTATTTATGTTTTATTGACTATGCAAAGACATTTGACTGTGTGGATCATAACAAATTACGGATAACGTTGCAAAGAATGGGAATTCCAGAACACTTAATTGTACTCATGAGGAGCCTGTATACGGACCAAGAGGCTGTCAACCGAACAGAACACGGAGATACTGAATGGTTTAAGATCAGGAAGGGAGTGTGTCAGGGTTGCATCCTTTCACCACACTTATGCAATCTGTATGCTGAGCAAATAATCCGAGAAGCTGGACTGTATGAAGAAGAACATGGCATGAGGACTGGAAGAAGACTCATTAAAATCCTGTGATATGCAGATAACACAACCATGCTCGCTCAAAGTGAAGAAGATCAAAGACTACAGCCTTCAGTATGGATTACACTTGTACATAAACAAAACAAAAATTCCGAAAACTGGACCAAAAAGCAACATCATGATAAATGCAGAAAAGACTGGAATTGTCAAGGATTTCATTTCACTTGGATTCACAATCAACGCCCATGGACACAGCCCTGAAGAAATCACACGATGTACTGCACTGGGCAACTTTCAAGCGCCGAAGTGCAGAGATGTCTCCTTGAAGACTAAGGTGCACCTGACGCAAGCCATGGTATTTTCAACAGCCTCACAGGCATGTGAAAGCTGTACAACGAATAAGGAAGACTGCAGAATAATTAACGCGTTTGAATTGTGGCGTTGGTGAAGAATATTCAATGTACTGCTGGAAAAGTGAACAAATCTGTCCTGGAAGAAGTGTGGCCAGAATGCTCCTTGGAAGCGAGAATGGCCAGACTTTCACCTACTTTGGTCACGTTGTCAGAAGGGACCATTCCCTGGAGAAGGATGTCATGCTTGGTAGGGTGGAGGGTCAGCGAAAAAGGGGAAGGCCCTCAACGAGATGGACTGACACCATGGCTCAGCTCATGGCCTCAAGCACAGCAGACCAAGAACGGTGCGGGACCAGAGCGTGTTCTGTCCTGTTGAACACAGGGTCACCGTCAGCTGGAAGCAACTTGACAGCAGCTAACTCCATATTGTTCCCTACAGAGCCAAGAAGCCTGGAAAGTTTCTACCTCTTTTCTCAGGCCCTTGGTCATGACCCCTGGACCCCTTTAAAGGGGATGTTTGAATGCCAAGGTCTCCATCACATGAACTGCTGAATCTCATGCTATGGTCTGGTTTACTTCACGTTTGGACCACAGCTTCCTTGCTGTCTGTTCCTCCTACAGCGTAGAAATGCCTTTTTTTCTAACTAAGAGAAGGAAGATATGTGTGTAATCTATCACTGAAGTCTCCTGGTTTCTCACTCATTTTATCTAGAGAAAGACATTCTCCTTGCAAATGCTTATTCTCTGGGGCCACTGCCATCCTAACAGGGACCATGCCCCGTGCTTGCTCCAAGGCTGCTGTCTCGAGCCTTCTCTCTCAGGTGCATTGCCCTGTTTAACTCACAAGCAGAGTAAGGCTGATGGACACCTCGCAGCCTCAAGCGGCCTTGAGGCAAAGCAGGCCCTTGGTCTTATCAGCAGCACACACGCCGAGCAAAGCTTGCACTGCACAGCACACAGAGCCCCAGCGGTGCCCCTACCAGACTTGAAGATGTGGATCAGACACATGAGCAGTGTGCCCAGCTCCTGGCTGTAGAAGGTGTGCTGCTGCTCACTCATTTCCACCCGCAGCTGCTTCGTGACGATGTCCTCGAGGAGAATGCCGACAAGCTGCAGCAGGAACCTGCAGAGGAAGGGGGCGTCAGCGTGAACGCGTTCCCTGCCTACAGACTGGTGACACCATCCCCTGGCTTAAGCCACTCTGCCTGAGCACCACGTTCCTTACTTATTAAATGCTAAGAACTTTACTATCTTCTAAGGACTGTTCTGAGGACAAAATGACATGCTGTTATTTTTTTTTTTAAAAAAAAAAGCTCTATGAACTGTGAAGCACTACACAAATATACTTGAGGTAGAGAAGTACAATCAAGTTTAGCCGCTTGCGTAAACCTAACACAGGTGTCTGGAAAGCCCGAGTGGGAGAGCCCTGGCTGTCTCTGTGAGATGTTGAAGCAAAACGCACGGAGCAGGGTTACTGGGTACAGCTCCACATAGCATGGGTCGTGTCCACCAACGACAGAGTCTTCAGAGTGGCTAAACGGAAACTACAGGAGAGCTGGCTGGAAGGAGCGTGTGACCAGAACCGTGCTCAAGGGCCCATGGAAGGGGCTCTCATCCAGCAGAGGTGTGCGTGTGTGTGGGCGGCAGGGAGCCCCTGGCAGAGGTGAGCACGTGTGTGGGTAACAGCGAGCCCCTGGCAGAGGTGTCCGTGTGTGTGGGCGGCAGGGAGCCCTTGGCAGAGGTGAGCACGTGTGTGGGCAGCAGCGGGCCCCTGGCAGAGGTGTGCGTGTGTGTGGGCTTCAGGGAGCCCCTGGCAGAGGTGAGCACGTGTGTGGGCAGCAGCGGGCCCCTGGCAGAGGTGTGCACGCGTGTGGGCAGCAGGGAGCCCTTGTAGAAGTGTGCATGCATGTGGGCAACAATGGGCCCTTGCCAGAGGTGTGCACGTGTGTGGGCAGCAGCGGGCCCTTGCAGCATCACCGCGAGCTTCCAATCATTGCAGGAAGACAGACTTGGACCAGCATCCACCCAGGGGAGGGCCAGCCATGTGGCAGGGAACAGAATCTTATTAGTGACAATGAGTACAATCACCAGGCCACGGTAAGGCTAACTTGGAATGAGTTTTCTTATTGTTTTAGATTCTCGCAGACAATGTTCCTGCCACTGCCTGCACCAGGGTTGGCCACCCAGCCACCTGCCCTGGGGGTGCCACAGTGGTGGAGTATACGACCAGAATGCAGGGTGCAACGTGGCAGAGTCATGAGAGAGGTGCAAACCAAGGAGCCTAGGAAGGCAGAGAAAGCAAGAACACACCCGTGCAGACGCCTTTCTGTGACTTGCAGAGGCAAAGTGAAGCTGGGAAAACGCAGTTACTTATTCCAGACTCCTTGCTCGTAAAACCCTCTGGGGCTTCTGCATAGACTGGGATTCACTTCCAAAGGTTCAGATGGAAAGCGTACCTGGCAAACGTCTCTTCTGGCGGGTTCTTCGTGTGTGCCCCTTCACTGTGCTCTTCCGGTGCTGGGTCACCACCCCCTCCTCTGAGCCTGCTAATCACCGGACAGGAGACTAAACTCGCGGAGAAGGAGAGCTCCTGAACGCGGGACAGGACGATGTCCTCGGTCGACTGGGAAATAAGGACCCGCAAAATGGCGAGGATGCCCGATACCCACAGCTGAACGGTGCTCACGGAAGCCTGAGAGGAAGAGACACGCTGCGGTGGCTAAGGAGGAAGCTTCGTGTTTCTCCTGACCGCCGGCCTCCCGAGACCATGGCCCCCGCGGCGTCATCCCACCCACACATCACACTGGCTGTCCAAGTGTAGCCCGTGGAGATGCGGGGCCAGCATCCCGCAGCGGCTCGGGCCCCACCCACACTCCTGAACCAGCCCTGGAAGTTGTGATCTGCCCCACCTGACTGGGCTCTGAACCTGAGATGTCAGCATGAGGAGAGACACTCACCATTGTACTCGGAGTAACGAACATGCTTCGTAAGAGCATGTCCACAGGACGGAGGGACGAGGGGGCCAGGATTTCAAACAAAGTGTTTAGCACTCCAAGGGCTTCGTGAGAATCGATGTGCATCTGTTGCAATTAAACACATCGGAGTTTGCACGTAAGTCAACGTGACGGCCAGCATTACACAAAGCAGTACATACATCTCAGGGTCAGGAGACACCCACAGCCCATCACGCCAGCCCCTCACCTAAACGTACTGTCAGTTTAAGTGACACGAGCTAACATTTTTTAGTAGAACACTTTATCAGCTGTATTTTTCCATAATGAAAATCCACAAAACCCTCTGTCATGGAGTCCGCTCCAACTCACAGCACCCCTGGAGGACGAAGCAGAACTGCCCCATAGGGTTCCCAAGGCTGTAAACCTATACAGAAGCAGACTGCCTCACCTTTCTCCCACAGAGCACTTGGTGGGTTCAAACCGCTGACCTTCTGGTCAGCAGCCGAATGCCTTACCCACTGTCCACCAGAGCTCCTTAATAATGAACTAAATTTAAAGGTCTTCATTTCCATTTAAAGCCTGTTTAATTTAGACTATGAGATACATGATATAATCTTTCTGTAAATGATTCAGATAATATATAGAAAAACCTGTGAAACCTGGAAACTGTGTGAGGTGGAAACCTGTCAGAGGAGCCAAACGCTGTACTTTCCCCCAACAAAGAGGGGGAGAAATGTGGTCAGACCACACCCTGTCAAGGCGGAAAGGCTGGAAAGGCCCGGAGACCGGAGAAAACAATGCAGGCCCTGGGTTCCGGCTCTCCCAGACCCCGCCCCCAGCACTTTATAATCACCATGATGTCACCCTCCGTGTCGGGAGACGGGTCTCTCACACATCTCATCACACGAGTAACTTCACCTCAACAGGGTTGTTGTTGTTAGTTGCCGTTGAGTCAGACCCGACTCACAGCGACCCCTCTTTGGTATCACTACGGAAGTAGATTACCCATCCTTCCTTCCAAGGAATGGCTGGTGGGTTTGAACCACCAACCTTCTGGTTAGCAGTCAAACGCCTTAGGCACTACGCCACCAGAGAGCACACGTGTGCGCGTGCACACACGCACACACACACACACACACACACGTCAAGAGGCGTTTTGAGTTGTTTTCAAAATTCATGATGTAAACATTCCTGTTTCTCACACTTAACAATATGGCAACAACAACAACAACAACAACAAAAAACTTCCCAAGGTAATTGGTTTTAAAATTGAATACTATTATTACTTCTTTAAGTTGAGATTTGGCTAAGAGCTTACAGAGTAAATGCAGCAATTCATACACATTTCCACGCCACTGTCTGCAGTCCCCACAGTGGACAGCTCTCCTCCCACTTCGTCCCTGTGGTTACCTTTTCCTGTGTCCTTCTGTCCTATGCACTCGTGCTCCCTGAGCTGTCTCCCTGGGCAAATAGGGCCCTTCTCATCTGCCATGATTGAGTATTCTAAGGGGTGTACCTACCTGGTGTAAATGGTCGCCTTAAACACCTGTCTAATGTTTGGCTGGGAGCTCTGGTAGCATAGTGGCTAAGACACTTGCCTGCTAACCAGATGGCTGGCGGTTCAAACCCACCAGCCACTCCTCGGAAGGAAGGTTGGGCAATCCTACTTCCGTAGTGATACTGCCTCGGAAACCCAAGGAGGGGTCACTATGAGTCGGGGCCGACTCGACGGCACATAACAACAACAACAACATTTGGCTGGAAGCCACGGGAGTGAGTTCAATTTGAAGCCCGAAGGGTTACTAGGGTGATAGTCTGGGGGTCTCACCAGCCTCCATCTGATCAGTCAGCCTGGTTTCCATGATTCTGAGTTGTGTGCCAAATTTTAAAAGCCAGCATTATTTTTACTGGATGCAGGATATTCTAAGTCTATACCATAGCTTCTTTGACCATCCCCTGGTGATGATGGGCACCACTTCTGCTTCCGATTTCCATCACTACTGACCCGTGTGTGTCCCCTGCAGACAGCCCGGCACAGACGCAGGGTGCTGGGGTGCAGATCTGAGCACCGCAGAGCCCTGTGCCACCACGGGAAGCTCCTTCTACGTGCCTTCACCGTGGCCCCCAGCTGCCCTGCACCTGCCCCCACAGAGCACCTTCTCGCGGGCCGCTCTGAAGAAGTCTGTGCCCACACGGCTGTCCGTCACGCAGCAGAACTGCCCTGTGCCTGCTCAAGGACAGGACGGGGCGCTCCGCTGGCCACCAGCAGCAGGCTCATCTTGATCCGCCCGGCCCTCAGCGCATCAACGGGCTGTGCCTCCACACAAACCCACGTGCGGCCCCTCTTCCCTCCGCCACTGCCCCCAGCCCCTTTCAGTGCGGCTCTTCTGAAGAGCTGTTTGTACGCCAGCCCCTCTGGCTTACATGCTCACACTCCAAGGGGGTCACCAACACAGCTCCCAGTGACCTCCACACGGCCAGACCCAGGTGAGGCCAGGCTCGTCTCACCTGCCCTTCCACAGACCACACTGATCACACCCTCGTCCGTGGGACAATTTTGCTCCTTGGCTCTAAGAGAACACCTGCCCACCTCTCCTGCTCTGGCTTCCCTGTCCCCCAGTCCTCGGGCTGTGTCCAAGTGCATGTGTCTATCCAGCCCTGCTCCCTCCAGAACCCCAGACACCCAAGGACCTGCTCCTCCAGTCTCCCCACCTCAGTGATGGCAGCTCTATCGTCACCTTGAACAACAGCCCACCGCTTTCTTCCCTTCACACCCACAGCTACATATCAGCCCACCTGGCTGATTTTACCTTCAGACCAACGCCAGATGGGACCTCTTCTCCCTGCTGTCTGCTCCCACCTCCCGGTCAGGTGCCACTGTGCCTGTGTGGACAACTCGTCACCCCCACTTCCATCTCCCGGTCTAGGAAGTTCTCTACCCAACACCTGCTCAGATCACTCCTCTATTTCCTTCAAGTTCACTAACATGTCACTGCACCAAGAAGGCTTTTTCTCATCACTTGTTTTACAAACCCCACGACCTGCCTGTCAGTCCCTGGCCCTGTGGCAGCTCGAGTGCTGCTGCGACGCGACAAACTCTGCTGTGGGTATTTCACATACCAGGAGGGTCACCTGTGCCCACAGATTACAGCACAGCTTCTGGACTGAAACAGACCAGAAAGGTCTGGAGATGTCCTTCTGAAATCTGCCACGAGAGACCTCACAGACTACAACAGAGCACTGTCCCATGGAGCACCCAAAGCTGACCCCTAGGTTGGTGCTCACTCAGCCACTGTGCCGTGGAGCGCAAGACGATCGGCCCCGAGGCTGACGCTCGCTCGGAGCAGCGTCTCACAGAGTGCCTGACGATCGGCCCCTAGGCTGGTGGTCGCTCGGAGCACTGTCTCACAGAGCGCCTGACGATCGGCCCCGAGGCTGGCGGTCACTCGGAGCAGTCTCACAGAGTGCCTGACGATCGGCCCCTAGGCTGGTGGTCGCTCGGAGCACTGTCTCACAGAGTGCCTGACGATCGGCCCCTAGGCTGGTAGTCACTCGGAGCAGTCTCACAGAGCGCCTGACGATCGGCCCCGAGGCTGGCGGTCACTCGGAGCAGTCTCACAGAGCGCCTGACGATCGGCCCCTAGGCTGGTAGTCACTCGGAGCAGTCTCACAGAGCGCCTGACGATCGGCCCCTAGGCTGGCGCTCACTCAGAGCAGTCTCACAGAGCGCCTGACGATCGGCCCCT